TTTTTTTTTTTTTTTTTTTTTTTTTTTTTTTTTTTGGTACAGGGGATTAAACTCAGGACCTTGTGCTTGTAAGGCAGGTGGCAGCATCACTGAACTAAATCCCTGGCCCTCCTATTATCTATCTTTTATTTTGCTGTTTATTCATACTTTAGATTTCTCATATAAGAGAAACCCTGTGATATTTAAGCTCGTGTGTCTGATTTATTTCATTATGGTCTCAGGGTACGTCCATTTTTTACAAGTGTTTATGGCAAAGTAGTACACCATTGTGTATAAATACCATATTTTCTTTATCCATTCATCTGTTGATGGACCTACAGGCTGCTTCTAAGATTTAGCTGCTACAAATTGTGCTGTTATAAACATGGGTATGCATGTATCACTGCAATATCCATTTTATAAGAAATATTATGACCTGCCACGATTAGGCATTGTGAAAGAAGAGAGTGGTGAAATATGTGATTAACATAATAGAACTTACTGTTTTTTTAGTACTTGTGTGACTGCATATAAAAGGGAATAGAAGGTATTGATTTTGCCCAAGGGTGAGTTTCAGAGAAAGCTTAATAAAGGAGGTGATATTTGGCTTAATCTTGAAGAACAGGCTAGAATTCATCCAACAGAGAAAGATATTTTGTGCACAAAAAATATCCAAGCAATTTAGAAAAGGACAAGCAGAGTAGTGTGGCTAGAGGTAGAGTGTGTGATGGGGAGAGCTGGTCATGAGTGGAAGCTAGATGGGAATACTGGAAAGTGTCAGCTGTCTGAGAACTTGGTGTAGGGCTGAACTCTCATGGGGTATCCAGCACAGTGTCTAGGACAGCATAGGAGCTTTATATTTGTTGGATCAAACCATGAATGGAGGAAGCCAGGAAGAAGAAAGAAAAAGCCACACGAGCAGTTAAAGAGATTTCTTACCATCCTTTCTCCCCAACTACCCGTTCAACACGGGAGGACAAGGACAAAAGGATGTCAGATTCCATAGGAAAGGTGATGGCACCGGTTACTGATATTTTAAAATTTCCCATATTTGTGCTGTTTCCTTTCAGGACTTGAGAACTCATGTAGCCAAATTTCTGGATTGACCAGGGTGGAAACTGAGCCAAAGAAAGGAGGCATTGTTCAAATGCACACAGCTCACTGGTGGCTGAGCTGACCCAAAGCCTGTGTTTTCTACTGCTTAACCTAGTGCTCTCTCCTCTGTATCCACCTGCCTCGCTGTGCTTTTTTTTTTTTTTTTTTTTTTTTTTAAAACTTGGAACCTTGTGCTTGTGAAGCAAGAGGCAGAACCACTGAGATAAATCCCTGGCCCATCGCTGCGCTATTAACACTGCCCTATGAGCAGTGTTTTCTTTAGCTAGCTCCTCCTTTTTCTCTCAGAAGTAATTCTACATTTCACTGTTTTCTTAAAGTCTTCCGTTCAGCCATTTTCCCACTTAGTTTCAACAAGTGACATTGCCTCCCATTTAATTTTTTGAGAACCCAGGTGTTGTTATGGCCCTGTCTCCTTTTTGTTTACAAGTCTACCTGTGGCTGGAACTGGCTGTACTTTCTCTCTAATGGTTCAGCTTTTCTTTTCTTTTTTTTTTTTTTTTTCCAGAGATCGAACTTGGGTCCTTG